GAGTATAGGAGTTGGGACATTGTGTTGAGGTTGTCCAGGGTGTTGGTCAGGCGATTTTTGGAGTACTGTGTACAGTTCTGGTCATCCTGCTATAGGAAGGATATTATTAAATTGGAGAGGGTTCAGAACTACCAGAACATTGCAGGAATGGAGGGCTTGAGTTATAAGGAGTGACTGGATAGGCTGGGACTTCTTTCACTGGAGCGTAGGAGGTTGAGGGGTGACCTTATAGAGGTTTATAAAATCATGAAGGGCATAGATAAGGTGAATAGCAAAGGTCTTTCCCTAGGGTGAGGGAGTTCAAAACTAGGGAGCATATTTTTATGATGAGAGAGGAAAGATTTAAAAGGGACCTGAGGGGCAACTTTTTCGTAGAGGGTGGTTCATACGTGCAATGAACTACCAGAAGAAGTGGTAGGTACAGATGCAACATTTAAAAGATGTTTGGACAAGTACATGAATAGGAACGGTTTAGAGGTATATGGGCAAAACACAGGCAAGTGGGATTAGGTTAGTTTGTGAAACTTGGTCAACATGGACAAGTTGGACTGAAAGGTCTGTTTCTGTGCTGTATGACTCCATGATTCTATGATTCTAGGTATAAAATCTAAAAAAGAGATGAGTACCCAGTACAATCAGGAAGATAAAATAATAAGCAATGTAAAAGTTCTTAGAGTCCTTGAGGGGTTAGGTTTTAACTTGAGACTGCAGTTGCTTAATCAGCAACTTGTATTCTCAGCAAACAAAATTTGTAGATATTTTTGAGTTCTTGGTGAATGGATGTTTCTGTGATTTGCTTTTCAACAAGCATCAACTTCCAAGAAGTTGAGAGAAAATTAGAGAGAAATATTCCAGTTCAGCTGTTACAAATCAATTTTACCCCTCTATGGTTTGCCCAAAAGCAGTTGCCTGAAATACGGCTCATTTGTATATTCCCATATCTGGCTTCATTTTCTTTTCTCCAGCCGGATATTCTGCAGGCGGGTTTCACCTGCAAAATGTGAAACTTATCTAGAAAGGTGCAATTCAAACAGGGGATATCAATCTGACTTTCAGTTACATTGGATAATGATGTCAGTTTCAGCTCAGACAGATTTTTGCTTATTATTGGCTTCAAAAGCTGGTTCAGCCTATGGTCAGGTGATCACTGTGACTATTTTAATTCAGTGCTTTACCTTTTTTTAAAAACCATTTTAGTCAACAAAGGTCCCAGGTTTTAAAATCAGATGATGGATGTCAAATTTGATAGTCCATTTTTACCACATTGAAATGCAGTATAGTTACTGAGACCTCCACCATCCTCCTTCTGGAGGTTACCATTAAGCAGAACCTGAACTGGACAAGCTGGATAAATGCCCCTGTTTATGGAACAAATAAGGGACACTGTAATCTGTGATGAGTGACTCACTTACTCAATCACTGAATTTTAACCTGACTCCCTAAAGTGTATGTGCACTTGCAGATCATAACTTAGCAGTATTTTGGAATACTTGCCACTTGCTTAGATACATGCAACTGCAATAATGCTGAAGAGACTCAACACCATGGACACAAAGCAGTGCATTTCATTGTCACCTGACTCACTAACTTAAGCATCCATTCCCTCTACTTATAGCCTTGCGTAGCTACAGTATGTATTGACCATAGGATATTCTGAAACAACGCATGAAGGCATCTTTGGCCCCATTTCCCAAACATGCTTAGAAGGATATGGAAACCCCACATAATATGTGCAAACCCCACCACCTCCAAGATAATTAACTTCCTGTCTTGGACTTGTATTGCCTCTCCTTCATTGTTGTTGAATCAGGATCCTGGAGCTGCCTACTTAATTTTTGACACACTTTCACCAGACAGACTACAGCAGTTCAAGAAGAAGATCTACCAGTAGTACCTTTTCAAAGACAACTAAGAATGGACAATAAGTGTTGGCCTTGCCAATGATACCCTCATCTCAAGATTGAATCTTGTCAACCTGACACAGGCAATTCACGCTCATCCTTTTTAGATAAAGCAGATTTAGTTGCAACTTATAGCCCTTAAACACAGTAAGTTCTCTCCAATGACCTGGTCAATATTTATTCCTTAACCAATGTAGTAAAATGTATTATCTGGTTACTACATTGCTATTTGTCAGACATTGCTGCGCACAAATTGACTAGTATTTTTGCTACGTTTTAACAATTACTACATGCTGAACTTATTGAATGCAAAGAACGTTAGGGCATCCTGAGGTTGTGAAAGTTGCTGTATCAATGCAACTTTTTAATTCTTCCTTTATTAAAATGGAATTGGATTTAGATTGCTCAGACTAAACATATCAAATTAGAATAATTTTCAGACCTTTTTTATAAAAAAAGGTAATTATTGTGTTTTCTTCGTAGAATGAAATACTTAATGTACGATTTCTTCTCCAATAGGATACTCCAGCACACTTACATCAAGCAGCTGAAGTTAATCTTACCCACCACCTGAAAAAGTTGGGAAAAGAAGGAAAATTAAGTAGGTATTCTCAATCTTGATGACTAAGATACTGGAAATTTGTTATAGTTACACCCATGTTCCCAGGATGGGGTAGATGTGAAGGTCTATTTACATTTTAGAACTCAAGACAGTGACTGCCAAACCAAACGATTGTTGGTCTAAAGCACCGATCCACTAGAAGGGTATTAGTGACCATTAATCCTGGGACCCAGCCTGTGTGACTGCTGATGGATTGGACTAAATAGAAGATTATGATCATTCCCTTGATATTCAAAGTCTCAAGGAAACTGGTGATGCAGCACGCTTGAATCCTTTTAAGGTAGATGAAAAGCCATACTAAGCTATTGGATGAAAGCAGGATTTGAGCAATATTACAGATCCTGTTAGGAGTAAAATGGTTAGATAATGACGTAGCATATCTGGGATCAAGAGTTCTTTCAGTAAGATGTTAAATGCATTATTCTTTGTCAGTTTCCTCTCCTAACAGGAGCTGGCCATCTTGGTAGTTTTCATTTGTACACTTAAATACTGTAAAATAGCACAAACAAGATTAAACGGTTCACTGCATGGCCACAGGCAGTAGCCTAATAGTTGCTGGGCTCAGTGGTCAGCAGTGCTGCCTCACAGTGCTAGGGACCCAGGTTCAATTCCAGCCTTGGGCAACTGTCTGTGTGGAGTTTGCACATTCACCCTGTGTCTGCGTCAGTTTTCTCTGGGTGCTCCAGTTTCCCCCCACAGTCCAAAGAAGTGCAAGTTAGATGCATTGGCAATGCTATATTGCCCATAGTATCCAAGGATGTGTAGGTTATGTGGATTAGTCATGGGAAATGCAGGGTTACTGGGATCGGGTAAGGGGTGAGTCTGGGTGGGATGCTCTGCACTGAGTCGGCCTGGACTTGTTGGGCCAAATGGCATGTTTGCGCACTGTAGGGATTCTAAGGTAATTCTAGATTGTATTTATGTATGTTCAGTGGAGGAAAAGGCAATTTGTTCCTGGCAAATCTAATAGTTATTTAACAGAATAACAATGAAAGCAGGAACCTCTTTGCCAATGTAACTACTCATCATATCACTTGTTATAAGTCCGTCAAATAACAAATGAAGAATTAACTTGGATTTTTATTACACTTCGCTAGGGTGTGTAATTAATACAAACTGTTGTTTGACATCCTTTACAAAGCTATGTATTCAAATAATTGTCAATGTACCTAACTTTCCTGTCAGCTGCCCATAATATTATTAAAGGACACTACATAGTGCATTTTGGTAGGTTTCCTCAAGGTCCAAGGATTCCACCTATCTAACCATAAGTGCTTTCTATAAGACCATAGGAAATAGGAGCAGGAGTAGGCTATTCGGCCCCTCAAGCCTGCTCTGCCACTGAGTTGATTCATGGCTGATCCGACATTCCTAATGTCCACTTTCCTGCATTTTCTCCATCCTCTTTGATTCCCCTGCTGATTGTGAATCTATCCAACTCAGTCTTAAATATCAACAAGGACTCTGCTCCCCAGCTGTCTGTAGCAAGGAGTTCCAAAGACACTCAATCCTCTGAGAGAAGAAATTCCTCTTCATCTCAGTTTTAAATTGGCAGGAAGTGACAGTAGTCCATTAAAGTGGCTCAATGAGTCTCCTAAAGGATGATGATTATGCCAGCTTTCCTACTGCATGACGGCAGAAAAAAATCAACTATTTACCTCTTTCCCCAGCAACCTAGACATCGTCCCAAATCCTAGGTCATTTTTTGAGCCTTCCTGTCTCCCAACCTATCACTGAAAGGTGCAGAAAATTCTGCTTTTCTTTCCCATCTGACGCAATAGGCCATTCCCTTGATCACTGCATCTCAATGCAATAGTCCTGTCTTCATCGTCCCCTTTCTGCATGCAGCAGTCCAAGTTGCTGTCATTCATCACCATCTTAGCAAAACCAAGATCTGCAGACTAGACTGTAATATTATTTACGATCTAGACTGTGCACATAGCTACTACTTTCCCTTCAAATCAGTATGTGATTTTTTTTAAACCTTAAATGTGATCTAATACTTCTCCAGCAGAAGCATGAGTGAGAGAGGTTGCTGTGTCATTATGACCCTTAGAGTTGGGATCATCTTCATGCAGGAAATCAGCCTTCCGAGAACACCACTATGTAATTTGTTACATAGGCAGTCTAGCCCAGCTTTCTTTCTGACATTATGTATGCTTGTGCTTGCAGCAGGCATTTACATCTTGAATTCCATGAGATAGCGACATTATGAGAATGTTTCTGCCATGCCACCAGTACTGGACAATGCGTATGCTCAGCTGTGACCATTAGGAAAGCAAACCTAATAGAATAAAAACACCAGTAAAATTCTGTGAGAAACTTTGTTCTTACTGACTCATACTGTTTGAGAGCTAGAAAAGAAAGCTGATTCCACATACCTCCGTTTGCATCTGTGGTGGAGAGGTTCCTATCCAAGTTAGCCTAGAGGTGCGAATGCTCCAACCGTACTGTGCCGTAATGTAGAGAAATCACGGTATCACTAATTTGAATGATCTACTTTCCCACTTTATTGTCATGTTTCCAGAGACTATTCCATAGTGGTTGCACATCCATTTGATTTGATTTATTACTGTCATGTGTCTCAAGGTACAGTATAAAGTGTTGTTTTACATGCTTTACAGGCAGAGCGTACTAGAGAGTGAAATCAGAATTAACATTTAAGAGGCCAAGCAGCATTCTGCTCCAATGATGCTGCTTGGCCTGCTGTGTTCATCCAGCCCTGCACCTTGTTGTCTCGGATTCTCCAGCATCTGCAGTTGCTACTATCTCTAACATTTAAGAGGTCCATTCAAAAGTTTGATAACAGCGGGGATGAAGCTGTTCTTGAATCTGTTTGTACACGTGTTCAAACTTTTATATCTTCTGCCCGACAGAAGACTGCATAACCGGGATGGAAAGGTTCTTTGATTATATTGGTTGCTTTTCCAATTCAGTGGAAAGTATACATGAAGTTAATGGATGGAAGGCTGGTTTGCGTGATCAACTGGGCTGTGTTTACAACCCTCTATAGTTTCTTGCGGTCTTGGGAAGAGCAGTTGCCATCCCACACTGTGATGCATCCAGATAGGATGCTTTCTTTGGTATACCTACAAAAATTTGTAAGTGTCTTTGCAGACTTGCCAAATTTCCTTAGCCTCCTGAGGAAGTAGGGGCATTGTTGTGCTTTCTTGACCGTAGTGTCAATGTGGGTGGACCAGGACAGATTGGTGATTGTCACTTCCAGGAACTTGATGGTCTTGACCATCTCCACCTCAGCACAGTTGATGCAGATGGTGTCGTGCCCTTCACTCCCCTTCCTAAAGTCAGTGACCAGCTCCTGCATTTTAATGATGTTGAAGGAGAGATTATTGTCCTTACACCATACCACTTAGCACTGTATCTCCCTCCTGTACCCCGTCTCATTGTTGTTTGAGAGCTGATGTATAAACAGTGATGTCGTCAGCAAACTTGTAAATGGAGTTGGTGCGTAATTTGGCGATTCAGTTGTGTGTGCGTAAGTATAGTAGGGAGCTGAGTATGTGGCCTTTCGGGGCACCAGTGTTGAGGATTATCATGGAGGAGGCATTGTCACCTGTCCTTACTGACTTTGGTCTGTTGGTCAGGAAGTTGAGAATCCAGTTACAGAGAGGAGAGCAGAGACCTAGGTCCCGGAGTTTGAAATTGTGGTGTTGAAGGTGGAACTATAGTCAAAAAGTAGGAGCCTGATGTAAGTATCATTGTTTTCCAGATGTTCCAGGGATGAGTGTAGTGCCAGGGAGATGGCATCTGCCGTGGACCTCTTATGCTGGTAGACAAATTCCTTTATTAGTTCACAGTATGAGGGCATACGCTGGCCAGGCAGCATTTATTGCCCATCCCTAATTGCTCAGATGGCAGTTGAGAGGCAACCACATTGCTGTGGGTCTGGAGTCACATGTAGGCCAGACCGGATAAGGATGGCAGATTTCCTTCCCTAAAGGACGTCAGTGAACCAGATGGGTTTTTCCGACAATTGACAATGGATTTGTGGTCATCATTAGACTCTTAATTCTTGATATTCAAATTCCACCATCTGCCGTGGCAGGATTCAAACCTGGGTCCCCAGAATATTACCTAGGTCTCTGGGTTAACAGTCCAGCGATAACACGACGAGGCCATTGCCTCCCCTTATTGCAAGGGATCAAGGCAGTTTGGGAGGCTGGAGTTGATGTGAACTATGACCAACCTCTCAAAGTACTTTGAGGCACACAGCGTGATTTTTCTTTGGCACTGGGATGATAGTGGTCTTCTTGAAGCAGGTGGGGACTTCAGATTGTAGTCAGGAGAGGTTGAAGATGTCTGCAAATACTCCCACCAGCTGGTCCACACAGTGTCCATGTGGTTAGGCTGGGTCTCTGGCTTAGTTTAGTTTTGCCTCTTGACGCTCTGATGGCCCTGTGAAGGTCATACCTGGATTTCCTCTAAAGTTCAGGGTCGCCTGACTTGAATGCCTCAGACCTGGACTTCAGTAGCGGGTGGATCTCTGTGGTTTCTGGTTGGGAACGTTCGCATCCTTTTTTTAATAATAACGTCTATGAGATGTGAGACCTCAGAGTCTTCTGCAGCTGGTGCAACATATATTTACTTTCTAGCCAATTTCTTACTCCTCATATTTCAGTCCCAGTTCCATCTGATTACTTGTAGCTCACTTTGAACATGTGTTTCATGGTTTGGTTAGCAAGCAGCTAAAGTGGTGTAGCATCTTGAAAGATGAAGCAAAATGCTTTGACAGCCTGCAGGTGATACATGTCCTCATTGTTCACTATAAGCTACATACATTGTTACCTCATTCTGACAAATCCAAGGACTTCCACCTTATAGAAAATACCCAGCAGCAGTGACTGTTCTTGTTAGTACAGATTGTCTTGTCCATGAAAAAGAAAGTTTAAATTACAAATTGGACACTGAAAACATGCAAAATAAATAGAGCCAAGATGTTCTGAAGAGGAGCTAAGTCCTGATATTTAGACCGTATGCAGGTCCTAAGAATTTATAACTAATCAGCAGGACTGCAGTGACACTTTTCTCCGATACATCCTCTGAACAGGTGGCTTGCTCTGCTCTCTACTGCTCTGAGTGCCAGGATGGTAGATCTGCAGCCTCAGGTGGCTACTTCTGAGGCTGCAGGCAGAAAAAGGTAATTTATACAGCATTTTTTTCACAGCCGCCAGATATTTCCAAGTGCTTTACAGACAGTAAAGTTCTTTTTGAAGTACAATTAATTTTGTAATGTAGGAAAAGTGGCATCTAATTTTCATTCAATCTGTTTTTTGTGATGTTGCTTGAGAGATAAATATTGGCCAGGATACCAGAAATAACTCAAAAAGAACAAAGAACTGCATATGCTGGAAATGCAAAACAAAAACAAAATAAAAATTGCTGGAGCAACGCAGCAGGCCTGGTAGCATCTGTGGACTGAAAACAGAGTTAGTGTTTCAAAATGAAACCAAAGAACTGCAGATCATGGAAATCCAAAACAGAAACTCTGGGCAGTGCGGTGGCTCAGTGGTTAGCACTGCTGCCTCACAGCGTCAGGGACCCGAGTTTGATTCCACCGTTGGGCGACTGTCTCTGTGAAGTTTGCACGTTCTCTCCGTGGGTTTTCCAGGTGCTCCAGTTTCCTCCCACACTCCAAAGATGTGCAGGTTAGGTGGATTGGCCATGCTAAATTGCCCATAGTGTCCAGGGATGTGCAGGCTAGGTGGATTAGCCATGGGAAATGCAGGGTTACAGGGATAGAGTAGGGGGTTAGGTCTGGGTGGGTTGCTCATCGAAGGGTCAGTGCGGCCTCGTTGGATGAAATTGCCTGTTTCCACACTAGGGATTTTATGAATTGCTGCAGAAACGCAACAGGTCAGGCAGCATCTATGAAGAGAATCAGAGTTAATGCTTTGGGTCTGTTCTGAAGAAGGGTCACTAGACCTGAAATGTTAAGTCTGCTTTCTCTCCTCAGATGTTGCCAGAACTACTGAATGTTGCCAGCAATGTCTAGACGAGAAATAACTCCCCTGCTTTTGTTTGAAAGCCAGAGGGTATTGCTTTCCCTGTTGGAGCAGTGCAGGCAGGTCCCAGCAATCAGAATCTTCATTGACATTCAGTTGAATATCCTTTATTGTAATGCCACAAGGAATTCTGGTATGTTTGTCTCTATTGTCTCTATAATCTTCACTGGTAGAGAACTTCCTGCTCCCCAAAAGAGACACCTAAGTTTCATTTTAGTAGTCTAGGATGTTCAGTTCTGAATATTGCTAAACAAAATAGTTATTATCCCAAATCAAATATTCACAGATCCAAACAGTTCGATAACTTTGATTATTGGGATCATGATTTGTTTATTGTGATGGAGGAAATAGCTGTGCTCAATAGTATAGACTAAGATGGTGCCATGTTCAACCTTTGATCAGCGCTAAATTGACTGATCTTATGTTCAGGTAACAATGAAAGCACTCTAGTTTACCTTTTTGTCATTTTAGGGAGAAGGAATTTGCTGAGTGTTCCCAGTTCTGATTTAGTAACAGGTGTGTGCAAAGCTGTCAAATGGAAGCTAGATTAGCCTGTGCCAGCTAATAAACCTGCTTTATGGGAGCATTCATAAAATTAATCACTTGGACAAAGTTACAGAAAATTAGTGCCCTCACGGAAGTCTTCATCGCAAGGCACCAATGATTTGGTGAATGGCACTGGAACAAAGCCTGGCAGAGAAAGTTTTCAGTAAATAGTTTAGAAATGGTACATTGTTTGCTTTGTTGGTGTGATAATTTCACTGACTGTCTTCAGGAAATGATTTAGGGAAGCAATATTTTGCTGTTACTGAATTACTGACAATATTTAAATCTGTACAGTTCAGTATAGTATCAGTGAAGTAACTTTCAGTGTTGTAAACAAAATTAATCAAATCATTTTGCCTTACAGCCCAAGATGATGCAACTCAGAAATGGAAAAGCAATTTGTAATGCTTCTCCACCCACTTAAATGGATAAAATGGATGTGTATCTTTTTGAAATAAGGTTACATGGATTTTTAAAGATTTAATTTTGCATTACCTATAATATTCGGGTCTTAAACCAAATGCTGGAAACGCTTTCTGTGGAGGGAAGGCAGAATTACCATTTCAGGTCAGTGACCTTTTGTTAAAACTGTATTCTATTTTGTTGGGTTTAATGTCAGAGAATCAAAAATAAGTATGTTGTATAACGCATTGGGGGAGAATTTCCAAAGGATACAGCTAATCATCTATTGCAACGTCAACAGTTAACCTTGAGAAATTGAACAAATGACCGAGTTATTTTATCAGAATCTCTACTATTATAGTGGGGATCAGGAGAATCCAATTGAAAGTTCTACCCGATTGTGGTTTTGTAAAGATTATTCTGAGTAGTGTTGTAATTTTGTAGTTTATTATATGACAGATTACAAGTTATTAGATTCATTGCGCATAATTCTTATAAGCCTTCAAACTAACAACTATGTAATTAAGTCTTTTGAACAATGCATTGCACATTAAATTTGTAAGTGCCACATTAAACCCTCAAGTAACTGGTAAAACGAGCTGTCTTTTTTTTCCTTAATGGCTGATTTAAGCAATTTATAGTATTGATTTACTGAAATATTAAACTCTAAAAACAAATTGTTTTTGTTGGAAAAGGTTGAAATTCAACTAGTCATAGCACCAAGTTTGTTTTCAAAATAACACTAATCTCATTTTTATTTCTGACCTTGTTGAATGTACACATGCATAAATTGCAGTCAATTTGTATTCACTCAGCGCTGTTAAAATGTCTCTCGGTATTTTGCAAAGAAAATTCTCTTTGCTCAGATGCTGCGTTTTAAAGTGCTGGCAACTAAAACAAGATTAAATACATTTATCACAATGGTGAGAGAGGAGTTGGATTGTTAGATGGGTGAATAAAAAAAACTCAGCACAACAAAACATGGAGACAAGATAAAGACAAATTATAAAATGGAGAAGACCAGGTAGAAGAAAGTCGGGGAAACAGAGGAAAGAAAACAATGAGAAATTCACTGGAAGCATCAAGGAGAAAATGTAAGGAAAACATTCTTTGAAACATGTGAAGAAATTGAAGTCTGGTCTCCATCACCAACTATACAGTTATTGCTTGTACTGAGACTGTGCTACCGCTTTATTATAAACAGAATCACCTTTAGCCTGTTATGTGTATCATCACACTTGACATATTACTTTTGTCTACAGCTGTCTGTTTTATTTTTCATAACAGCTATCTGATCGGGTTAACAGAATTAAACCTTCATATTTACACAATTTTTTTCGATTGTCTGGCCGTGTTTGCAAAGATTTCTTCAATGCATTTACTTTATTGAGATATCATTCATATATAATAACCTATTTTATGAAATAATGTATGATTGAAGGTACACTAACATATTTTATGAGCCATTTGGAACTGACACTACACTCCCATCTATAGTTAATGAAATAACTTCAAATCGTAATTCCATGGTGCTTATGCCATAACTTAATATTTCTGGGGTGAAGGATTAACATTTAAATACATATAATATATAGCCAGCTTACATCAGTAGTAACATAAGAGATCACAGAACATTAGACTCTAGACAGAGATGATCTTATGTCCTATGCTAGATTTAATGATATAAGTAGTTAGAAGTATATTAAATAAAAAGATAATATTCCTAACAACAGCCAAGACTAAACATTCCCCCTAGCTCTTGCTGACAACTTAGTTTCTTCCAACCTCCACTCACATAAGAACAGAACACTAAGTCGTTTACACCATAGCAGAGAAGGTTGGGTCATTGGGACAGTGGTTTAGTGCCATGCTAATGGGTTGGTTAGGGACCATTGTACAGATTCCTGTGTTCTGATGGTCACATTGCTGGGAAACAAGTAGATTTAATGTCAAGGAATAAGTTTGCAAGAATAGACCCAAATGACCTGGTGTTTCCCCAATTCCAGGCACTGACCAATCATCATTCATATGTTTGTCGTTGGCGGGCTTCACTTCCAGAAGAGAGAAATACATCTGGTAAGAGTTGTTAGATTTGTTGTTTGATGGGAAGGCCCAACAAACACTGAGCTGAATCCTCTTGGATCATAAAAGTAGTTATGCTGTTCATGATCTCTCTGACTGATCTCTGATACAGTGAGATGTGAGCCATGACCGGGTAGGCGATGGCCTAGTGGTATTATCTATAAACTATTAACCCAGAGACCCAGCTCAAATCCCACCAGGGTAGTTGGTGGGATTTGAATTCAATAATAATCTGGAAGTAAGAGACTAATGATGACCATGAAACCCTTGTTAATTGTCAGGAAAAACTCTAATATCCTTTTTGGGAAGGAAACTGCCATCCTTACCTGGTCTGGTCTGCATGTGACTCCTGACCCACAACAATGCGGTTAATTCTTAACTGCCCTCTGAGCACTTCGGGGTGGACAGAAAATGCTGGCCTAGGCAGTGGCGCCCTCATCCTGTGGATGAATAATAAAAATATAGGGAAGGATGGATTTCTAGCTGCAGTGCCTCCAGGAATTGTTTGGTATGAGCGATAGAATTTGTGGATCATACGTGCAGTGCACTGAATGATATCATGATTTTGAATTGATCTTGTTCATTCTGCTTCAGGTTTTTATTACCATTATCACACCACATTCTTCACCATTCTTACATTACAACACTAACTTCAAACATCCTCATGGAAGAAACACGTGGATTAGCATGCAGATACAGCAAGTAGTTAGGAAAGCTAATAGAATGTTATCAGTTAATGCGAGGGGAGTTGAATAAAAAACCAGGGAATTTACATTTCAGGCATATAAGGCACTGGTGAGATCACTTCTGAAGTACTGTGTACAATATTGTTCACCTTATTTAAGGAAGGATGTAAATGCATTGGAAGCAGTTCAGTGAAAGTTTATAAGACAAATACCTGGTGGGTTGTTTTACGAGGAAAGGTTATGGAGTCATAGAGCTGCACAGCACAGAAACAAATCCTTCAGACAATCTTATCCATGTCGACCAGATATCCTAAATAAATCTAGTCCCATTTGCCAGCATTTGGTCCAAATCCCTCTAAACCCTTGCTATTCATGTAACCTTCCAGATGTCTTTTAAATGTTGCAATTATACCAGCCTCCATCACTTTCTGTGGCAGCTCATTCCATACACACACCACCTTCAGCATGAAAAAGTTCCCACATATCTTTACCCTCTCACCTGAAACCTTTACCCTCTCACCTGAAACCTATGCCCTCTAGTTTTGGACTCCCCAACCCTGGGATAAAGACCTTGGCTATTCATCCTATCCATGCTCCACATGATTTTATAAACCTCTATAAGGCCACCCCTCAGCCTCCGACACTCCAGGGAAAATAGCCCCAGTCTATTCAGTGTCTCCTTATAGCTCAAACCCTATAATCCCGGCAACATCCTTGGAAATCTTTTCTGCACCCTTTCAAGTTTTGCAACATATTTCCTATAGCAGGGAGACCAGAATTGCATGCACTATTTCAAGAATGGCCTAACCAATGTCCTGTCCAGCCATAACATGACATCCCAACTCCTGTACTCAATGCACTAACCAATAAAAGCAAGCGTACCAAATGCTTTCTTCATTATCCTGTCAACCTGTGACTCCACCTTCAAGGAACTATGAACCTGCACCCCAAAGTCTCTTTGTTTGACAACACTCCCCAGGACCCTACCATTAAGTGTGTAAGTCCTGCCCTAATTTGCCCTACCAAAATGCAGCACTTCACATTTATCTAAAGTAAATACCATCTGCCACTCTTCAGCCCATCTGATCAAGGTCCCAATGTATTCTGAGATAACCTTCATCGTTGTCCACCACACCACCAATTTTAGTGTCATCTGCAAATTTACTAACCATTCCTCCTATATTCACATTGAAATCATTTATATTTGTATCTGCTAAAGTTTAGAAGAGAAGGAAGTGACCTGATCGAAACATATAAAATCCTGAGGGATCGTGACAAGGTAGGTGTTGAGACGAGGTTTCCTCTTGAGGATGATCTAGAATTATGGGTCATTCTAAAACTAAGACATCGCACTTTTAAAACAGAGATGAGGCTATTTCATTTTCTCTTAGCAGGTTTAGAGTCTTTGAACTCTTCCTGAAAAGGTGGCTGAAGCAGAGTCTTTGAATATGTTTAGGATTGGAATTAAAATTGAAATTAGATTTTACTGTCATGTGTACTCAAGTACAGGAATACAGTGACAGGTGTACAAAGTCGCCATTCTCCGGCTCCATCTTAAAGTACAAAATACGGAACCAGCATTTAAAAACAAGAGAGGAAAAAAGTCTCGATCTTAGAGTCTTTAACCAAAAGAAAAGGAAAAAGTTAAAGTTAAAATCTTATCTCCTTGGGCCTAGCCCTGGCCTGGAGTTTGGGTCAGCCTCCGCCTGGGGCATGCTCCACTGATCACCTTTACTGCCAACAATCGTTGGGACAAGCTGCCACTGTTGCTGCCGCTGCCAAGACAGAGATGGATAGGTTCTTCGAAATAATTATGTCGGGGTGAGCAGGGATTGGAGGATAAAAGGTTATCAGGAGTAGACGGGAATGTGGATTTGTAATTACCATCAGATTAGCTATGATCATATTAAACAGCTGAACAGTCACAAATAGCTGCACACCTTATACCACCTCATATGTTCAAAGGTTGCATCATCAAAACAGCTGTGATGGCAATGGAGACACAGAGAAGATGGAATGGAATCCGTACAGGAAGCAGGAGTAGGGACAAATGTTGTCAAGATCCCTAGGAGGAGGCAATGGCCTAGGGTGTTATCACTAGAGTATTAAGACAGAAACTTGGCTAATGTTCTGGGGATAACAAGGTGTGGGGCTGGATGAACACAGCAGGCCAAGCAGCATCAAAGGAGCAGGAAGGCTGATGTTTCGGGCCTAGACCCTTCTTCAGAAAATGTTCGGGGGACGTGGGTTCAAATCATACCACGGTAGATGGTGGAATTTGCATTCAATAAAAACCTGGAATGAAGAGACTAATGATGACTGTAAATACATTGTCAATTGTCAATTGTCAGGAAGAACCTATCTGGCTCACTAATGTCCTTTAAGGAAGGAAATCTGCCATCCTTAGCTAGTCTGGCCTACATGTGACTCTAGACTCACAGCAATGTGGTTGACTCTTAATTGCCCTCTGGGCCGGGCAATAAATGCTGATCCATCTAGAGATGCCCACTTTCCGTGAGTAATTTTTAAACAATTCCCTATGGGAGTCTATGGGTTTTTACTAAATACCAGTAGACAGCCTATCCTCAGAAATGGAGACAAGGAAGTTGAGGGAGGGAATGGAAGAGTTGGAGGTGGACCACGTAAAAGTGAGAAAAAGATGGAAATTGAACACAAACAATGAAATTTTCCAAATCTGGGCAAGAGCAAGTAGTGGCACTAATACATATGTCAATGTATCATTTATCTCTGAGAGTGTGGAGCTGGCTATTCATTACACAAAATGTCTGCTGTCATTTTGGGCATCATTTGCAGCTGTAATTCTAAGAACCTTCAGCAGCTCTTTTTGCTCAACCGTAAGCCTATACAAAGCAACAGATGATTTAAATATGCCGACATTACAGCCAAATATGATTCCAAACTAATATTTCCATATCAGCAGAAGGTCTAAGACCAACTACAGTACTCAACTAAGATCAACTAAATAGTTACAGACAAAGGTCTAAGACCAACTACAGCACTCAACTAAGATCAACTAACTAGTTACAGACAGGAAATTGAACATAACCTAATTATAGGTGACTTTTTTAACCACACCAGATGTTACATTTCACAACTGAATCTTGAGGGGACAATAATTGTCATGTTCTAAAACAGGTCACTGTGGATACTCAAGGCAACTCAACATCACCTTCTCACAGACAATGAGGGAAGGGCAATAAATGTTGGTCTAATAGCACAAATGAATAAAAGAAAACTTATAGATTGGTTTCCTGGATCCTCACTGTCCATTTTCCTTTACCTTTGCCAATGATTAGCAAAGACTCAAAATATTTGCCGCCTTCTACAAAAATAGTTCCATTCTAAAATGTGTAGACTTATCTGTGAATTTATCCCCTTTCCTTTTTGTGCAATGCAACATTATCTTCCATGGTATAAAGAATGGTGTTAATTTGAAACCAAACAAACATCAGGTAGGAAGTCAGTACCCATCTGATATCTTTGACATGAAGTCCAACGTATTTTAAAGGCAAGTCCACCTTTATACCTTGTCAGTGTGGTAA